CCGTTTGGTACGTGCGTCGTGAATGCGAGAGCGCTCTTTAGTCTGCCAGGGCTTCTTCATGAGCCGAGAGCTGTCAGGTATGACATGATCCGGGAAGGGGATCGTCTCCTCGTGGGCCTTTCCGGTGGCAAGGACGCTCCGAGAAGGGCTCAGAAATGGGAAGGGGGCAACTCTCTTTTCCGCAGGACAGCCTGACCATGCTCCATGTCTTGCTGGAGCTGCAGCGGCGCTCTCCTGTGAAATTTCAGGTTGCTGCGGCAACCGCCACTTGAAGAAAACAGATTTGGAATTGGTTGACATTGATGCGGATGCCCTGTTGTACTCCCGCATCATCTTGAGGTAAATCCCGAAACGCCCGAGTTCTCACCGCAGCCTCTCATCGAAGCCTAGTCGCACTTCAACTTCGATCGCCATGCAGTGTGTCCTGCGTCCTTTATTGCCAGGATTACATGAAAGCACTTGGTGTCACCTATCACTTCCTCTCCAAACCGTTGATCGAGATGGCGAAGTGTCACCTTGACCCGAAGAAGCCTTCCATCTGCTACTTGGCAGCTGCTAACACTGCTGCAGAAAACATGGGCAGACTCAGCACTGAAGCCATCATGTTCCATGGGCCTGACGGAGGTTCCTTTTGCGCACGGATGAAGCGCGGTATGTTGTTCCCCGGCGGGAAATTGAATTCGCACCGTGTCTTCTGCAGTGGGGATGCCCACCGCGGTTCGAGAGTCTGATGCGCAAGTCAGGTACACCTGCATGCGTGAGAACGGCTACAATGCTGCTGGGCTGGTCTTGCTAGCACAAAACCTGCTTCGAAATTCGGATTAGTACAAAGGCAGGCAGGACTGTCTGTTCACACCAGCACGCGTACAGTGGGCAGCACCACAGGTTCTTTGTCTGGGGCAGTTTCTGGGCGGCATTGGATAAAACGGTTGCGTACCGGCTTCTTGGGAATCACAGGAAATGTCTGGCTCAAAGGCACCTAGATGACTTCGCCGAGTCCTTTCTGATGTCGGCTTTTCGGAACGGCTCTCTCAGGACCATGAAGGCATTGCACTCATCGGCTCGTTGCGAGTTTGGAGAGTCGCCAGCGTTTGAGCTTTGGTGGTGCAGGCGAACTATGCTGTGGCAGCGAAAGACCTGCGCGTTTGCCGACCGTTGGTGCACGTGCGAGAGAAGACCCTCGCCCAGTTCGCGAAAGACAACAGGCGCCTCGCAGCCGCGAAGCTTCGCGAAGCTGCAGAACTCGCTGTGCTTTGCGAGGCTGCCGGTGATCGCGGACAACTGTCCGGCTTGCTTCGCTGCGCCGAAGGAGCGCCACCGCCGCGAGCCGAGAGCTGAAGAGCTGAAGCCGTTTCGCCGCCACAGAACGGGCCCTCAGCCTCAGCCCGTCTACTGCTCGTCTAAGGCATGAAGTTGATGCTGTCGCAGCAGGAGTTCGAGCACCCGGATCTTTTCTGGTCCTTGAGCTCCTGCATGAAGCCCCTGATGTCGATCTCGCAGACAGAGAAAAGCATGGCAGCTCGACTCTGCAGCCGAGATCCCTAAGAGTCAGCTTTGAGACGCCTAGCGGCCTAGTATGGCCTAGTGGTATCGCAGTGCACACGTCTCGCTCCGAGGACTGGTGGCGCCAGGTCCTTGCCGCAGACGAGGCAGGCAGTGTCGAAGATGTCGGAGTGTTGGTGCCTGTTGGCTTCCAGAAAGGGCTCTGTGGTTGCCTGTCCCCAGGATGAAGACGACGCAGCGCCGCTTTCTGAGGTGAAGCCTGGGGAGGGAGACAGACAGGCGCTGCGATAACCTGCGACCGTCGCACCGCGACAGATCGTGACGGCGGTGTGTTGTCAGGAAGCCTGTGCGGACAGCTCCAGTCCATCCCGAGCGGATCAGGCAGATGTGTGTTTTCGTTTGGATTTGATGCCCGTGTGTATCTGCGGAGTCATGCAGCTGTGGTCTACGGAAGTTGCGTTGCTGGAGGGGCCATGGCCACACCCTGGGAAGCTGGCAGCGGTCGCTTGCGCATCCGCTCTCTCGGGAGCCTTGGTGATGTGGCTCGCAGTCCGGCCAAGAAGGTGAGTGCCGAACGAAAAAATGCGCAGCTGCGGCTAGATGAATCGAAGTCTCTGGTCGTCACAGGCGTAGCCAGTCGTCCTCTGCCACCTCGCCAAAAAACTGCTACGTTGTTGGATACTGTTGGATCAAGGTTTTTCTTAGTTTAGAGTCTAGAGTTGCTCTGCTGGAATATCGTGCCGTGGCACAGCTGCTTTTACTCATGGCATCATCCAACAAGGGCGACTCGCACCATCGAAAGCTCTGTGTGTTCATGGTGGCCTGCTCTATTCCAGCACGACTTTTTACATAAAGTTTTTCTGTTCTGAAGTATCGTGACATCCTCTTGAAGTGGACTCATCCAGGCTGCAGTTGAGGAGAATCCCAAGGACACATCGCTGCACACGGTCTCATTGCTTGATGCACGTCTTCAGTTTTCTTGCATGAAACTGCGGCTTTGGTAGCACGTGTTTGTGCAAGAGCTGGTTTGCCCCCTTGGGCCGCAGTCCTCTGCTCGCTGCCGGGATGAGCCCGGTGCGAACAAGGTTCAGAGTTCGGAAGAGGTGCAGTAGCAACAGAAAGTGAAAAGTGTTGCTGCATGGCGGGGCAGCACGGCGTGCAGCAGCTCTCCGATCTGAAGCTGAGATCTCGCTGCTTCAACTAAATCGAGTTGACGTGTATTGTGAATCGTGAAGTGCACCCGTAAGAGTTGCGAGGAGTTCAGCGAGTTCATCGATCGGAAAAGGACGCTTACGGAGCTCCGCATCGCTCATCAGGAGAGCCTGGTGCTCTCCAGCAACAGCAGCAGGTCCCAACGGGAGGGCTTGGGTGGACCCTGCTTGTTGCCTGAGCTTAAGCCAAACCTCTCGTCAGGTCCGGTGCAAGCAGCAAAAGCAGCACCTCTACCGGAGAGCTTCGCAGGAGAGATATCATCCAGCTCTGAGCAAACCGGAAATGTGTGGCTCGCACAACTCGCTCGCCCTGGCTCGTCGGCTTCTCCAAGGTACGTGCTTTTGGCTGCAAGGCCATGAGGATAAGTCTATCTGGTAGAGCCAACAGGCCGGGTGCGCTGAGTGCACAACATTGCTTGCGAACTGCGTGCAAGCAATGTCGACTTAAGTGCATTTGCTAAGATGTGCGAAGACGACGAGTTTTTGAAACACCAGAGCACCTGACCTCGTGTCGCAGCTCTGCACTTTCCAAGTCTGAGGGCAGACCCGGGACTGGAAGAGAATGGCAGGGCGTCTTTTGTGATGGCAGCTGGGGAGACCGGCCGCCTTTTGGTTTTGCTCTTGTTTTGTCTGCCACCCCGCTGGATCCCGATGACGGAGTCATCCGAGGGAAAGTGCGGGCATGATGGCGGAAATCGTAAAGCACCCAGGAACTCACGAATAGTGGCCAGAGCACCAGACGAAGCCGGTAGTCGGAGCCAAACCTCGAGTGCATTGGTGTTATTCTAGCATCAGTGTATTCTGAAATGCATTGGGACGCTTGAGACATCTAGAGTCCGAATCTAGAGAGCTTCTGTTTGGAGATTTCTGGCCACAGCATACTCGCATTGCTGGATTCGGGCTGAGCAGGCATCGGCAGTCACTCGCCGACGGGTAATTATGCTGAGCTCGCGACTGTCGATGTTCTGGTTGGGGGTCATGAGGCTAAGAGAGCCAATTATGTGGAGCTGCTTTTGCACACGGCATGTATAGTCATGAACAGGCTGCGGCTTTAGATAGTAGGTTCTTAGACGTGCACCCGTTTCCAGCCAAATGAGCGAGTCCTGTTTCGCTAGTCTCATTGTGCCATCATGTTGATGCAGTGAGTCGATGTTGATACATCGGAAGCTTCACCACGTTCGTTTGTCTCTAGTACCTATTGCAACGATAGCCCCCCACACACACACAGACATGAGGATGTTATTTCTCGTAGTGCCGATGCTTCCCTAATTCATGTCGTTTTTCCGGCTAGGGGTGCCAGTGTCCTCCGTTCTCCGTGTAGGAGGGCAGCACCTCTACGCTCAGACGAGCTGCAGCAAACACAACGCGTTCTTGTACTTGGCAGGAGCATTAGCCGGAGGCAATGTCCAGCTTCAGCTTTGCATGGTTTAACTCGGTTTCAAATCGACAGGGAGCATGCCAAGTTGCTTACATGTAGCTTGGCTCTGCGGCAGAAGGCCTGCCAGGAGGACTCTACGTCCTGCCACGCGCCGGATTCTGAGTGGTACGATGAGGGTATTTGCATGGCCACAGGTTGGATGGTGTTGATGCAGCATGTTACTCATCAGTTCTTCGTTTGCATTATCCTTAAGTTATCCTCGATATCATCTTCACGGCCTGAAACTTCCTGCGTTAGCCTTGGACATCCTTCTGACTCTTCAGTGTTCCTGCCGACTTCGTAGACTTGGTCTCAACTTCCGATATAACCTTTCAACATAATCCTGACCCGGTGTGTACCTCAAGCTTGGGGGATGGTTTGAAACTTCTGCGAAGCCAGAGGTTTCTTTGCCAAGGATTGGGGAGATAAGGCTGCGTTAAGCATGACCGTGATGATCATGAATGGAAAGTCTATAGAAAATAACGGGTCGTGATGGTGTTCCACTCTGTGGCTTATGGGCCAATCATGGCCAACCAATTCTTTCTTAACCCAGCTCGTTTGTTCTGGTCTGGGACGATGCGGCCGCACATCACATTGACATTCTGCGCCAAAACTGGCGATCAGTGACACTGCTATGCGGCTGGATAATAGCTCGGCTTTGGGTCAGGTCTCTGCCTGGCCCGTACAGTTGAGCCTTTGAGAAAAAGGTTTGCGCTTTGAGCTGTCGCTGTCTTTCGGCTGTCTGCATGGCATTGCATTGCTTGTGAAGCTGCCCGAGAGAGACAGGTAAAACCAGGTCAGATAGAGAGAAACCACACTTCCTTGTCTGCAGAGCTGTAAGCCCCATCCATGGAGCCTGGCCGCCTGCCATGACCGAGCTTGGCGAGGTAGGATGCTGAAGCCATCCATCTTTTTAAGCCGGACGTGCAGGATCGGGTCCGAAAGTGTATTTGGAACTGCGAGGCACTGGATTCCGGCCCAGAAGCCCTCGAGCAAAAGCATGATCACGAGGCCAGCTCAATGAACAGAATTCTGTGTTGAAATCCGAAGCTTAAAGCAGGAGGCACAGCTTTGCGAGTTGAAGGAAATGAGTTGGGATGTTTCTTAGGACACCAGCAAAGCCAACTCCAGAGATGCAGCTGACGTTCCCCCAGAATCCGGAAGGAGACGTCGCTTCCAGGGGTTCCACCGCAAGGTGCGGTTTTTTAGAGCACCGGAAACCACGACTTTGACAGCCTGTTCGGAGAGACTTGTTGTGGTGCAGACCGGGAGCGCCTGCGAAGTGAGCAAGCCTGGGCAAGCTACCAGGCTCCCTCATTGGGACATTAGGAGAGGTTCCCATTGCTCTTGGCTTCTGCCAGGCCTTCTTGACGATGCCCGGGGACAAGTGCACGCAGTGTTGGCTGATGAGGCTCTGACCAAGGGAGCAAGATGTTGGATATCATGTTTTATGCTTCTTCGTCGCTGGCAGGAAGCACTGCTGTTGCAAAGGGCTGCCACGGTCGCTGGGCTGCCCATCCATGCGTCCACATCCCTAGGCCCCTCGCATCCCTCTGCATGGATGCGCATGATCAAGATCTGCCTGAGCACTGTCAGAGGGACGTCTTGCCTGCCTGTGCGGCAGCTTAAGGATAGAAACCCGCCTTCGAGTTTACGTCCTGATGCACCGATTGGAGATCGGCCAAAGCCAGGAACCCAGCTCCGAAACGAGCCAGTGTGCGAGCACCGCTTCGGGGTCTTTGCAGGAAAGGCCTCGAACACTGCCAAGCTTCTCAAGCACTTTGGCGCCACGGCCCCAGCGCTCGCTCTGAGTCTTCGTACAGCGGTCCGCGGAGTCTGCGGAGTCCGCGCGTGTGGCTGAGGCGGAGCTCTTGTGCTGGGGCGTCGAGGAGCACGACGCGAGGCCAGGGATGGCCGGGGGGCCGGGACCGTTGCGCGCCGCGTGCCCTTCCTTCTTCTGAAGGCTGCAGCAGCTGCTCGCGGACGATGAGGAAGGCACCGTGGTGCTCTTCCCAAGCCACTCGGTGCGCATCGGGCTGCGTTTGGGCCGTTGTGGCTGCTCGCCGCGCTCGAACAGTGCTCCATGCTTCCGGTGAAAAGTGTGGTCTCAGACTGGGCGCTTTACAGGGGAACGCGACGTCACTTTGGCGAAGCTTCTTTGTTCCCCAACCACTCAAAAAATCGCACGAATTCGCTACAGTCCTGGCCCTACATTTCGTGCTCCCGCCACAGTGTGGTGCACATTTTGAACTGATGAAGTGGTCTTGGGAGCAGAAGTACAGAGGTGGAAAACTCTGCTTTGCGCCCCATGCGCCACGAGAAAGACGACGGCGGCACCACGAGCTTCGCACGGAGGTGGAGTTGAGATCGAGCGCCGGTAACCCGTGCCGCAGAAAGAGCTGGATGGAGTAGTGGACGTCGTATGCCACCGAGACACCAAGTTGTCGCGCGGGCCATCTCCAGCTGGGGGTCGCAGCGATTGTGGCGATAATGAAGATGCATGCACGTTTTTGTATCTCTTAGAGAGCCTTGAAGCAGAATAATAATATTGTGTGCGAAGTTAGTGGTTGATGCCGGACGTGCTTCCCAAGCACTCGCTGTGCACCTGCATTGAGGTCCCGATGCTGTGGAGGCACGCAGGTCAAGAAAAGTCAACACCACGTGCTGACGGCCAGCGCTCTGGCCAGGCAAGCAGTTTGGCCGCGGCACCGCGGCAAGTGATTGTGCTGGACGGCGGATGGCGCGAGTTGAGCCCTAAGCTGCAAAGTCTGAAGGTGTCGAAGACAGGTCCTTCCACACGTTTACATGGGCACTGGTGCAACACTTGCTCCAGCCTAGAAAGTTCGAAGGTTACCAACTTAGCCTTCCACCAACCGAAGCAACACCAATGGAATTGGGAAATTGGCTGAAGTTGCCAGTCAATGTATCCAGTCATGCCTGGGGCCAAGGTGTGTTCGGATGAACAGCTGGATCAGCCAGATGCCCTATGCAGGGCGCAGGGAGTGCTGCTGCACGAACCGCAGAGGTTCGGCTTCTTCGGCCTTTTGATGCAGTCCAGCATGTGCAAAAAGTATATAACTTATGCCATGAGACAGTGAGTCATGCTTGGCCAGTCCCTCGTCATTTGGACTTTAAGCGCCTCTGGAGAAACCAGGCAGAAACACGATAGCTTCGGAACTGCAACGAATTGCACCGCCTTTTCGAGCCATGGCCAAAGTTGCCAAAAGCCAAGTTCCGACAACCCCACCCGACGCTAGCCAGCACAGTTGTGTGTGGAATCACCTTCTCTCGTGCAGCTTTCGGTTGTTTCGGAAGCCTAGGTAGAGCTGGCTCAGGTACAAAAGGCAGGTTGCACAAACTGTCCATTACAGTCCTTTGCGCTTCCTGCACAGCGCAGCAGTATACTGGAAGGCCATAGCGGACCTGGAGCGCAAGTTGCACGAGGCCGCAGCATACTGCAGGCCCATTGTGTGCGGTTTGCGGCTAGCGACTGAGCCCAGGTCCAACACATTCACAGCATTGTTGAGTTCGATGCCAACGCGCTTTCAGCTCCACGTGCCGCAGGAGCCTCAGCGAAATGACTCCTCATTGGGTCGTCGTTTAGCTCACTACCAGGTACCCTCAGAACGCCGCGACCCACGCCTAACTCTGGCACCGGGTGGTGCGGCAGCACTCGCAGCGGAGGTGGCAGAGGTCGGGACCGGAGCCGACGCCTCAAGTGTCTGTGGCTCCCGTGGCCGTGAGGAGTTGAAAGCTTGGCGGAAGCGGAGCAGCAGCCTTACGCGCGCACAGAGATGTGACAGCGGCAGTGGAGTTGCACACAGCTCTGACATACGCTTTGCACTTCAGGAGAGGACGCTTACTCTCAAAGACGCCGTGTACATGAAAAGCGGCACAGGGATGCTGTGCTTGCCAAGCAGCAGGAGGAAGAGGACACGTCTTAGAGTTAAGGCGGCGCCTTCGGCATGGAATCCCCAGATCTGGAGCATGCACTAATTCATTTCCAGCTTCGGAAGGACAAGCAGATGGTGCGCGCATTTCTGCGCGATGCCATCCTTGACACAGCCAAAGCGGAATTGGCAGGCCATGTGTGGATGTCGTTCACGTCGCAGCTCTACAGCGGACAATCCTAGCAGTTACTTTCCTGCTTTGGCCAGCTTGTGGGTGGCAGGCACGCTGGCGGACTCCGAAGGATCGCCGAGGAGCTTTGCGTCCCAGTTCCATGGAAACAAAAGGGGCAGTCCAAGCCCGAGCCTTGCAGGAAAGGGGGACGAGCGAGAGATCCCAGGGCAGCGGAGTCTCTCAGAAGCAGCGGCTCTCTCTGGGCATCGGTCGTCTTAGCTGCCCAGAGGCTCGGAGACCATGCCCACGTTTCTTCCGGTGCCACAGCCCTGGCCTCTCTGCGCAACCATCTGGAGGGCGTGGTAGAACACTTGGAGGCGTTCGCTGTGTGTCGCGGTCGCCTTTCCCCTGCGATGTGACTGTTTGCCAGAGGCGATGGAGGTGCCACTGCCGGCAGAGATGGCTCCTTGGCAAAGAAGACATCACACGCGCACGTCCCTTGAAGCGCAAAAGGCATGGCCGGCTGAAAGGCACATGGCCCTGATGGCTGTTCACGTGGGTAGATGAACGGGGTCGTGGTCGAGATCAGCACGTTTTGGCAGCCAGCAAAAGCTTACGTTGTCTTGGATGATCTTGTTAGGTGCATGCTGCTCAGTTCGCAAGCAGCGCGCTTCAGAGGAAACGAGCCTTCATTGCAGCGAAGCTCTTCGTGATACCGGCAGTCTCGAGTTCACCGCTTTCACCGAGGCGAGCGCATCAAGCCAGCTTTGTTGAAGCAGAGGTTTGCAGAGGAGACCGACACTGCGCCTCGCAGGCAGACTAGAACACAGCAGAGTAGGGGGTGTCTCCTGCACGGGGATTCGAGCTGTGGCCCCTATTCGAGCTCTACGATTCAAGCACTGGCGCTTCAAGCACCTGCGATTCGCACTACGGTTCAAGCAATGTGGTTCGTTATCAGTTCCGGCACTGCCGATTGAAGCGCCGACCTTGATGCGAGCACGCGCAGCACTGTCGTTTAGACGGCAGATGTGAGCACTCGAGATTCAAGCTCCGGCGATTCAAGCACCAATGTGCGATTCAGCCACCGTCGCACGTCCTCCAGCTCCCCTCGTGACTACTTTTCAGGTTTCGACCGCGTACTTTCAGGGTGTAGGTTTTGCACCCGCCATCACCTTCCTAGCCGTCCCTTGAAAAGCTTGAGTTGCCTACCCTCCATCTCCATCCTGTTCGGCTTTCTAGCATCTTCTTTTGGATCTAGGTTTTCCCACCCCCCCCTCTCCTGTGCTCTATCCCCACCTCCCTTTTCCTTCCATGGTCCAGGGTTACCACCCGTGCCATGTCGCGAACCCTCGACAGGTTTCTTTCGCAGGGACAGGTGTCGCTGCTTGTCCCCGTTCTTCGTTCGTTTGTTGGAAGTCCCGAGTAGCGTGAAACTCCGATTCGATGAAACATCCTGAAACCCTCCACCCCGTAAACTTACACAGTCCATTGGATCAGCGCCAGCTTCTGCAGCACCGGACACAGAGAACGCTACACAGCTAGATTCAGGTGACTCCAAGGCTGCAGCAAGCCAGAGAAACTAGGATTACCTATAGCCCACACTGCGCTGATTGTCTGGCATGCGTGACTTGGAGTCTTGTGGTTGGGGTTTTTTGAAGCGAGTCCCGCACAAATCCACCGCACGTGAATCCCTGGTGTGGAATCGTTTCGTTGTGCAAGTCTGACACTGTGAGTGCGCGTTCCGTGGCACGAGAAGGGGATCCAATCTGTTGGACCAACACAGCCTCAGGTCGACCAGCCGCTGCTGGAGGCTGGCTGTGAGTGAATTCATCATTGGCATGTTTCTTGTTGGAATGATCGAGCTTGCCATGGGGTCGTCCATTACCTGTTAGCTATCTTTCGACTTGACGAAGGCAGGGGAGTATGAAGGAAAGGATTTCGCTCGGAAGCAACTGGCTTTGAAATTGGTGGCAACCTTCTGAAGCTTATGCCAACAGAGACAGATACATCGTCACAGCCATGTGTGATTCACCTGTTCATCCCTCATAACGCACATCTACGAATGCGTGTGTTTGTTTGCTCGCAGTTTTAGTATGTTTTAGTAGCAAGTGGCATTAACCACGTGGCATTTGTTCAGTCAGACATTGATGGTGAATGACGAATGGACAAAAGTCCAAGGACGTCTGGATGTTGCTGTCCATGGCCAGATCCTGCTCCGTGTGAGATCCAAGGGCCGCAGCATTGCGCATCAGCCGACACCCAAACTCCCAACCATTTGCAGTGCAATCCAAAAGCCATCCAAAGCCTTCGGGGCCTTCAAAGGCTAAAGGCCTTCCCTTGGCTTCGCTTCGGAGGCCGCAGAGCAGGGCTTCGAGACGCGCCGCGAAGCACTGGAGGCCCAGGCCCTGCGCCTGAGGCGTGGACGTGCAAGATGGGGTTTCGGATCCCGTTTCGGGGCCGTGTTTCGGAACATACTCGGGCAGTTTCGGATCAAGCCAGGGTTCAGTTCCGGTTCGATGTGCCAGTATGTGCTAATCATATCCTGGCCCCAAATCCTCGTTGAGCGATGGGGTTGATCACTTCTCTCAAGCCTGCTCCCTCTCTGGGCGATTGCGGTTGATGGCGCTTTCTCAATGACGGAAACTGGTCCCCTCATTAGGCGATGGTGCATGACCACACTCGGCGATGGTGGTGGATCACATTTCTTTAACCCGTTTTCTCTACAGTCAAAGGCTCGACAAGGATCCTGATGCCCATTCACTCATTCCTCCGACCAAACTCGAAAGCTGGAAGCTCTGAGTGTCAGGGATGTCGTGGATGTCCTGCGGAACTCCGTGGACCAGCGCCAAGCGGCCTTCCACGAACTCGACGCTGTGAATCGAGGCCCCCCGATTGGACGTCCCTCAACGAGAGTCCTCCCAAGCAAGCTCGCATCTCGTGGCTGCTGTGTAATTCTTTGAGACAGAGCATCCGTGTCAAGACCGAAAAGATGTTGACCCCTGTGTAGGTCCTGCCGCTGCCACGCAAGTTCCCAAGGTGGCATGGCTGCACCCGATTGAAGGCAATACGAGGATTCAGAGCATCTGCTTGACACCACGCGGGCAGCGAGAACCCCCAAATAATCCGAGGCCTTCTGGAAAGCTCTGAACCCGGGACCTGATCCTCGCTCAGAAGAGATCAAGGCAATGGGAGTGGCCGGGGTGGCCGGGGGTGAGGTAGGAAATGTGCTGTCTGCACAGGAGGCCTCTGACGACTCCGACGGGAGTACAACCCCGAGGCCCAGGTTCAAATATCTCGCAGCCAGATTGTAACGGCTTGTTCCTTGGAAGACCCGCGCAATCTTCCGCAGCACGGAAAAAGTGCTCAAGACCGCTCGGCGGTAGGACGCAGGCCGATGCCCATCCGGATGGCTGCTGCATCCATGCTCGGGGAAAGCCGGCAACAGCCTCGGCCTCAACTCGAGGCTGAGGAGCACTTCGACCGATTGCAGAAGTTCCTCCTGGCAGTTGAGCAAGATCCCGTGAGATTCCAAGTGAACATCGAAGTAGCCAGGAGTGAGGTTTCGCCGATTCTGGACCTCAGGCCAGGTAGTGGGGAGGTCCGTGGCACAGTGCGACACCAACTGGAGAAGCAGCGGCTGCAGCTGGAGGTTCGCGACGCTCTTCGAGTCGTCATCCAGCTTTGACTTGTCTTGCCAGTCTGTCCTTTGGGGGGATCAAGACTGACATGACTGAGACCCACGGTTCCGGCAGCTTTAGTTCCTGTTTGAGCATTTAGCTGGACAGCCTATACAGCTAGGAGCTTTCCTCTTGGAGACCTTCCGCCTTGGGTAAAGGCAGCCGATTTACGCTTGGTGATGCCAAGCGTTTTTTTTGGGTTGTGGAGTGCAGAGTCGACATGCTTTCGAGCTAGTGGCCCAAAAATGCCCAAAGGGTTTCGTAGGCATTCTTAGGCTCTGTCAGTCGAAGCTCGAGACATGGCGGCTTTCACAGCTCACCGGACTGCCCATCCCGGCCAAAGGTTCCCAGTTTCGCACTTTGGCACAGCAGTGACTTGAGTGAGGTGATTTCGAAAAGTGAGGGATGATGAAGGTTCAAGGCTTAAGGGCCGAAAAGTGCTGCTGGGCGGATGCTTCCGAGACTGAATCGAGTGTTCCGGAGCAATCAACTCTATGGGTTGGAAGACTCTGACAAGATCCGATGTTATAGCGGATGAGGTAGCCGGCAAGAGGAGTTGCTCCGCCTGACCAGTAGCTTGCATCATCACACCTTGCCAGCAATAGTCGGGGTGTGTTCTTTATTTGTGTAGTTCCCGGTTGATACCCAGGCCGTGCAGAACATGCGGTGCCTGCTTTCGTCGAACCTTCTCGCCAGCCTGACTTCCTAGATATTCACCTCAAAGGCTTGATGTTACCAGGTACTTTACCCCGTGCCGTGAAACGGTGACACAAGAGAAGTGCGCTTGCAAAGGCGGGCATGGATCTGTTATTTCGACAGCCGTGTTGCGCAATAGCCAATAGTCTTCGCTTTGATAGGCCTGACCTGCTGGGCCGATTTGGACTGTTTAACAGTGACATGACGGTGACGAGGCTGCGTGGCCAAAAAGTGTCCTGCTGTCTTGATACCTGTACTATGGCAGTGCAGCTGACATATGTTGAGAAGGCTGCTTGGCGTGAAAGGACGTGCTATAGTGGTCACCTTCCCCTGCTCACTGTAGCGTGTGGACTGGTGCTGGGAAGGCATGCGTCGCTGGAAGAGAGCATGAAGGAGGCAGGAGATGTTTTGTCATGCAGTGGTGTGCAGAAGAGTCACTGTTTTTGTACACACCTCCTTGGAAGACAAAGCTGCTTGATGGTTCTGATGGGTCACTTTGGAAGTGTCTGAAACTCACTCCAACAGATCCGTCAGGATGAACTTCGCCACCAAGCTGCAACTGGTGTGACGGGATTGTCCAGAAACAGAGAACATCCTTTGTATCGAAGCAGAAGCAAGGGTTGAAGTCCCATGCACGTCTTGTGGAAGCCTAGCGATGCCACAGGCAGTTTCTCGGCTTTGATTGGCCGCAGATCCGTTGCAAAGACCAGGTCAACACTTGCGCAGGCAGGTGGTCGATTGGGGCCAAGGAAGGATCGATGCTTGGCTTTCTAAATTCTGGGGTCCAGTCAAAGGAAATGTGCACTTGCAAAGCGCAGATAGACACGGAATCTGTGAACAGGGGCCACCAAGTTGGGGAGAGGCATCGCAGGCACAAGGCCAGTGCCCCTGCTCAGGATTCGATAAAAGCACGTTTTCAGCAGTGCTATTCCCAGGCCTGATCTGCACGTGTTTGCTTTACTGTGGTCTGCCTCCAAGTCGCCAGAGCCGCAGAGACAGGCAAAGAGTGGCTCCCAAGAGAGTTGGATGGCAGAGAGCGGCTCGGGCGCAATCGATGGAGGATTGCTATTCGTGGATGTGCTAGACAAAAGAATTACGGCTGGCATTCATTCGAACGGCGGCTTCCAGGCAAGTTAGCTCCAACAGCCTGACTCCTTTGCAAGATGTCCTACAGTGCCTCATAACAAAGATTTGGTTGTTGTGAGGCCAAATAGCATCCAGTAGTGCAGTAGTGCAAAAGGCCAAGGTCAGTCTCGTGTCTCATGCGAGCTATACTCAAGATAGTATTGGTATTAGTGTTTCTATTCACATTAGTATTAGTATGAGTATGAATATTGTAATGTAGGCATCATACTCTGGCCTCGGTTGAGGTCCCTCTTAAGGAACCACTGCCTAGCTTCTGCCAGTCATAAGGGCGGTAGCTCGTACCCGCTCGTACGAGCTTGCAGATCTAAGGAATGTTCACAAGGTGCATGTTGACAGTTTTGCTGTTCTTTCGGAATCGTGTTGCGGCGGCACAAACGGCTGGCATCAATGCTGGGTTAGAACAAAACTCAGAGGAGCGGGCTTAAGCCAGTGGACACCAAGCTTGAAGCACCCGGTCAAAGGCAGACTTGAAGCCTGGAACCTCACCACGAAGCTGGACTTGTTGAAGGCCAGTCATGAGAAACATCCGACGGATCCGAGGGCGTCCGGCAGAGCCCGTGCCAGGACCTCGAGTCTGAGGCCCAGCTTTGGCACCAACGCAAGCTCGCGGCCTTGAAGAAGCTGCTGCAGGAGCTGTGGGGGAGCCGGGAGCCCGGCACAGGCACCCCAAAAGCTTTTGTTATGAGGAGTATGGAGGAAGCCGCGGCGCCGGCCTCAGGGCGAGGCCTTCCTTGCAGTGTTTCTCAGAGTCGGCCTTTTGCGAAAGCGAGGTCAGACAGAGAACGGTGCCACCGCGGTGGCAGAAGTGTTCTTCACCTTGAAGACGGGGATCAACAAGCGACGATCTTACTGGTACATTACATAAGCCACTGTGCCAGGGCCACGTAAGCTCGGGAGGGCATCGTGGCTTTAGAATGCAGCTCGGAATCTACGAATCGGGCCAAGCCTTCTCCCTATTTTCAAAAGGGTTTGTCGAAGCCGAACCACAAGCCAGGTTGAATACATCGTGTTGTTGAGCAGTGCATGCCATGCAGCGGTTCTTGAAAGGTCCCTCCAGGGTATTGCTGCTGCGGAGGTCGCGGACCATTCGCTCCATCGCCTCGAGACTCTCGGATGAAGAGCCGATTCGCCGACTGCCCTGGCTTTTATCCCTCCCTCCCGTTTGTAGCTTTGCCTGGAGTCGGAGGGCGAGACAGGTTGTGGAGAGTGAGCAGTCTGGTTCAGGATTCCATGTCTGACGGTGCTGCTCAGGCACCTAAGCTCCTGGCACGAGCACCGTCTGCAGCTCGTGCAGCGGCGAAGCGATGTGGAACAAGGTGCCCAGGGCAAGTCAGGGCTCACCAGTGGAAGCACCGAGCTTCTCAGGGGCTTGTCTCTGTGCCTGTCGCAGGCTTTGCCGAGCCTGGGCCGAACAGTGGCCGGTAGCGTCCGACAGAGCAAAAAAAGGCGGGGTGCTGATGGGTCCTCCAGCTTGCGAAGCCGAGGAAAGGCTGCTGGAGGCTGGCAGCGCAAGAGTGCGGGGCAAGTGTGGTCTCACCGTGACGAGTGGCCTTGTCTGCGCAGTCGGCCGGTGCTCGCTGTGTGGCACAGCTGGGCGAAGCGGCCCAGGGCCTCGTGCAGCGATGCCTCGAGGTGACGAGAGAGCTGCCAGTCCCTGCCGCTGCCATTTGCCCCTGTCTGTTTGGAGGCGCTGCCGCTGCCAGCTCCCTCCGTGGAGCCTCAGGGTCCCAGTGACACACTGCAGCGCTGGGAGCAACTGGTCTGCGTATCACGTCTGAGGAATCTCTCATCACCATGACTTGAATTTCTTGTGCAGCACCCAAAGCTCCCGGCTGGTACCTGACATAGACTTGGACATTGCCAGGAGTTTCAGACTACGCGACAGTCTAGAGTGGAGCCTAGGATGTGTGCACGCGGCTTCGCTCTGTTGGGGCGCAAGCATTCGTAAGTGGACCCGTAAGCACCAGACGAAGATTGCTGAGTTTCCCGACAGCAAGCCACAAGCGCGAAGCACAACTGCAAGGACCTGCTTTCTGTAGGGGGCCGAGGGCATCAGCAAGCCAACGCAGGCAAGCAGAGATGCCGGTTGCCGATCGCTTCAAGGACATCTCTGCGGCCCTCTCAGGCGGAAGTTTTCTGTTCGAAAATTCAGGGGAGTTGAGCTTGGCCTCAAGCCTTTTCTCAAGCCTTTTTGGGCAGCTTCCAAAGGTCCCCGAGTTGTGTTGGTTTCCCAAAACCCTAGACCCGGTAAAAAAGCCATGCCCGCCGTTTTGTTCTGCTTCCGCAGGTCTGCCAGCGACGGCAGAGACTTGCGCGCTGGAACACGCTGTGCTGGCAGCGGGAGCCCCACAACACCTGGCCTTGACACTGGAAAGCTCTGAGTATTTCCTTCTTTTGGCAAGGTTATCGATGCGGAGCTCCAGCGAATATGTGGACTGGTAGCGAGCCGGAAGCCCGGGCAGCTCATTTCACAACAATTGTGGGCAGCACCGGTTCGAGGTCGGGATGCGTCCTCCGAAGCGGCGCAGACCCTGCAAGAGGAGTTAGAGAAGCTCGAGTCTCAAGCCCAGGAGCGCGAAGAGGTGCTGAAGGCCCGGGTCTCCATGGCCCCCGAAGTCAACATCAGCCTTGCCTGGTCCAGGCAAGCCGTGCTTCACCGATCGGGCAGTCCCCAGGCGGAGTGTAACGGCTTATGCCCAGGTCATGTACAAAGTTCAAATCGTAGAACCCCGACCCATCCCGACCCCATCGAGAGCACAAAGAGGCTCCGGGAGGCTGAGATCTTTGCTGAAAGTGCATTCGAAGTCTCGGCACGTTGCAAGAAGACGCGGATGCTTGCTGGGATGAATCTACAGAGCACGTGCTCAGGTCCAAGAGTTCGTCGCTGCATTGTTCGTGCCTAAGTGCCACCCGCTAAAATTGTGCACAGCTAGTAGTCAGTGAATCATACTCTGGCTTGCTGTTCAGGCTGACACGATGCACTCTAGACGACATCGGAATCAAATGCAGACTAGCAAATACCAATTGCGCTGGTGTGCCAAGATCCGGTGCACTTATGCTCCTAAGCTGCTGGATGCTTCTGGAGGGGTACGCTCTGCTTGTTTCGACGGGATGAGCCACCAGCATCCGCCAGCCAATAGCGGCAAGAACACGATCCGTCGGCATGTCCCACGTTACATCACAGCGAGGCAGAGACTGAGACTGTCGAGCTCATGATGCCAAGCCATGGCTCGCTGTGCGGCTCTGCTGCTGGCGGCTGCAGGTGCAGGCACTGCAGGCTGGAAGTTGGACGAGAACCCAAGTTGCTGGACAGATGCTTGGCAAAGGGCAAAGGCAAGAAGCGAACACCTTGTCTTTGATGTTGTCATTGCCTGCTCCATCTTCCCAAACCTAGGATGGCTACACTCACGAGCTATGCTGTGGTCAATCACCTCTACCGGGCTGTTTCCCAGGCTGGAGCTTGCAGAGTGTGCGCTTGTTGTCTCACCTTATGCTCCGGGAGGAGAGATGGCTCCGCACACCAGAGACCGTTGCTGCCAGAGTCCATGTGGTCAAGCAGTGCGCAGCAGGTGCTTCGTCGAAAGTGCTATTTATCTTTTGTGATTCCGCAAGGCCCCGATTAACCGTGCCATTCCACATTGCATGCAGGATCCAGCAGATTTCTCGCAGCAGGTGTCCCAGGCGCATGCATGAGTGCAATCTCGTCCTGGCTCTCTTGGGGTGTAGCAGTGCATCCCTCGAGGCGCATGCTTTCGAACACAACGCTGGTGACTGGCCTATGGAACCTGCACAGAGAGGGATGGCCATCACATGATCGATACCAGGAGCGCTGGTGCGTTTGTAATCTACCCACCCGGCAAATGGAAAGCTTGCGCAACACGTCTTATGTGACTGTTTGCGGCTTATACCATTTGTCACAAGATATGATACTGTAGGCTGCAGCGGTACGTGTTTTGTCATACGGTGTGCCTGCAGGCTGCAAACTGAAAGCGAGGCCCTGTCTAGCCAGCTACGTTCTCGTAGAGATGCAGGGCGAATCCTGCAGTCACACTAGAACGAAGCGTCCCGAGCAACGCATTCAGTTGCTTGGATCAAAGTGGCATGGCAAGAGCGAACCCTTCGAAGATTTTTGCAAAAAACGAGTCCGGCCGAACATGCACCTCTTGCACAATCAGCACAGCCACCGAGGTAGAATATTGAGGCAACTCGCGAGCGTGCTGCCAGCTCCAGCTGAACTTACTTGAACTCATGAGCGTCTTCGAATCCTCCTAAAAGCAAATGTTGCCAAATCCAAACTACCAACAAGCCACTGCGCTACGGAAATACGCGCGACGTGAAGTCATTTGCAGGTTGCTGCCTTGCGGCGCCGAACCGATAGTCAGCACAGGCTTAGCTTGCGGTTTCGTGAGTGTGCGTGAAGGAGTTCTTACAGAACGTGATACAGTGATACTACAGTGTTGAAGCTACACAATCGTTGATGCTGGCAGACACCGGGTAGTGCCATGATTTGCAGAGTTTGCCGCGTCGAATTCCTGCTTGAAAAATTCGAAGTGTACCTGTCAACGTGCGAAGCTGCCTGGCACTGGCGGTTTGCAGGAGGGAGATGGGCATTCGCAGCAGACCCAGAGCAGGAATCACGTCTACCCTTGCAGCTTCTGTCAACTCAGGTTCAAGAAGTATTTCGATTGGATGAGCCACCTGCTGCAGAAGCCTCAAGCCCTGATCGTCTTCGCGGAAGAAGAGACCCTCAGATACGCCGTGGCTTGCTGGCAAAGGGGAACGCACCAGGCCTGAAGAGTTTCTCCTTCGTCCCGAGGCATCTGTGCGACAAGCCCATGGCCTGAAATATCTCAGCTGCCTGGTGGAGGCGAAGCTAAGAGACAATGAAATCAAACCACACAGCATATGCCGTTCCACTTTGAGCTGTCCGTGCAGAGGTCCCCAAGGAGGCTTTGCCTCAAATGCGTTGGGAAGATGCGTACGAAGAGGCAACTCCCTGCTCCTTGATGGGAAGCATAGGCTTTGTGCTGTTCGGTTTAGTAGAAACAGACATGCGCATGGCCAGGCACATGCGCAGAATCGGCGAAAGCTTCCAGAAGATCTGCGCCCAGAGGTGCCTGGACCCCGGGTCCATGAACAGCCTCTACCGCAACACAAGCCTACAGTGTTACGAAGCGGAGGATCCAGCCAAAGTACACGCTGGCCATGCACTTACGCAGCCAATACGTGGGCTGCATGCAGAATGGCGCTGAGCGTGTGTTTTTGTGGGTTCGTCAGGTCGTGAACTCGAAGCCCGAGCTCCTGGCTTGCGCGGCTCACTGGAATCCTTTCCGATCCCAGCGTTTCGCTTGGGTCGACGCCGGTGCCGCCAGGTGCGGTCGTGCATCGGTGTTGAAAGCATCCCCTTGTACTCCGTTGTTGAGACAAGCTGACTTCAGGGAGAGCAAGATTGACTACGGCTTTCCAGGCGCCTTTGTCAATCGAGCCTTCTTCAGAGAAGTGCGCTTGCTTCATCGTACTGCGCCGCTGGTATGAAGAGCTACCCGGGAGCTCAAAAATCTTGAAGCAGCACTCAAGCAATCTCTATCGTCCTAACTTCTCGAACTCAGACAGATGGCAACGACTTGCCTCCTGTTCTTATCGTCCTTTACGATTGTATCAGACAGTCAGACATGGCTTGACCTCTCTCTGCTGTGCGCTTACTCAGGGGGGTCCAGACCAATTGTCCTTCCAAGCTGCTCGCCGTGGAGCCTCTGCGTACAGAGCCAAGATGTGAAGCCCGACACACCCGAAAGGGTCTGCAGCCTGTTCCATTTCTCAGGTTGGTCGGCGGATGTGGATAATATTCGATTTCCGCGACAAGCTGAAGCGCTTGGAGCATGGGACAACCTACGACTCTTCAGTGTTGTTAGGCCCATAGTTTGCTGCCAGTCCAGTCGCAGTTTCCCTTTGCTCGCACCCCGCATTTCTCGCGACGCAGGTGGTCGAGAAGGTGTATTGCTCTATGCACTCTGGTTTCAATGGGCCATCGAGCGCTATCTGAAAGAGAAGGTTATGGACGATGAGCAAAGCATCATCGCATCTCGGCAGCAAAGTCTGCAAAGCCTGCGATGTCCAAAAACGCCAATCTGGACAGGCTGAGATCTGGTGGACGGGCAGCTTCAAGATTGAAGGCCTGTTCGTGCAAATGTTATGTGTCTCAGATGCTGGACAGCGTTCGTAGTCAGCACCGTTCAGCGACATGCTGCCCTGTCTTCAGTGTGCTAAGTGGCCACCTTGCCGTTTCTTGTTGAGTATATGACCCACTAAATTCAAAGCCGTGGCCGTGCACGTAAAGATGTAGGTTCTGATTTTGGAACATGTGGATCAGTGACGCACCATGATAGGTATGACATTTCCCCTAAGTGGCTAAGTGGTTGCATGCCAGCAACCAAGCACAGAAACAACGCTGGAGCGTCGTGAGCACTCTGACCGATGGGATGATGTGCTCCGTTGTTCGCGCTGAAGGGAATCAGAAGAGCCCGATTCCCCGGTATTTGTTTAGGTCTCAGGTCTCTTGTAAATCTTCCTTGCGACTGTAGTGCTGTCAAACAACGATGTTTTCGCACAGACTCCCAAGGCGGCCTGAGATATACGGGAGCATGATGATTCATCGCCACCTTGTAGCCGTACTAATACAGCTACGCTTTCCAAACTGGTGATTGGTAACGTAGGCTCTTTGCCCATGCTGACTCACCGAAGAAGAAAGCATGCCATGCTTATGTACATACTTGTGTTGACTACCGACTTTTGGCATCTTGTGGCTCGAGTAAAAGAACCTTGCAACGTTGTTAGGGTTCTGCTTGAGTTAGTAACTTAGTAATAAGCACGGCTAAACTGATTTTAACCGAATCTTTGTGGCTGCTGCTGCTACCGCGACTGCGACTGCTGCTTCTACTTCTGCTGCTACTGCTGCTGCTGCTGCTGCTGCTACTGCTGCTGCTGCTGCTGCTGCTGCTGCTGCTGCTATTGCTGCTCCGCTCCTGCTACTGCTAGTGCGACCACCACCACTGCTCCTCTTACAGCTATTGCCACTGCTATGGTAGCTGCTGTTAATACCGCTTCTACTACGGGTGGTGCTGCTGCTTTTCCGCCGCTACAACCACTCCCAATCCAACTCCCACTCCGCCTACCACCACGACGACGACCACTGCTACCATTGTGTCTGCTGCTGCTGTTACTACTGCTACCATTACCATCACCACTACTGCCACCACCATCTGTACTGTAAGCGGCCAGGTGTTTATGGTATGAGCTGGACGGAAGTGCTTGCGCAGATGCTCATGGCAGATGCACCGGCCGGCACGGGTGGCTCCCTTGAGTCAGTCCTGTTCCTCGGATGGCGTTGGTTCAAGTCAAATCGTGTTTCGGAAAAGATACGATCTTCATTTCCTTCATCAGCTCTGTGGGGAAGAGCTGTACGTTGCTTGAACTCGAGTTCCTATTCATTGGCCGCGCACTTCCATCAAGTATGCCTGAGCTGAAGCTCGCGGGAAAATCACTGAGAGCGACGACACCTCTCTGTCGACGTAGCATTCATCGGAGAACTCGTCCGCGACATTTGGGTCGCAGGTAGATCCGAAAGCTTTGCAAAACCTTTGGCAGCCACACCGTGCCGCTGCTCTAGACTAATGCATTGTGGGCCAGGCCGTACAAATTCAAAAGGACAGAAAGGTGACGAAACCTCCTTTCAGCGTCGCGACCACCAAGTCCACCGAAACATCCGTGCACGGCTCTGGGAACTTCTGTGCCAGCAGGTGCGGTGATAGATGTTATAGCATAGCTCAGATGTTGTAGCAGCCGCATGGCACGACGTCTGTTTCACTACATGAAACCTGCCGTCGTTGCCAAGTTTCGAGATGCGAAGTCGTTCGAAAATTTTCCTTTGGGTTTGAGGTACGAAGAAGGTCGCAGAGGCTTACGGCGGTAGTTCGTTATTCTCAAATTGCAGTATCCGAAAGGAAGTATTTGACCCAACTTGGGACATTGCTGGTGCACTCGTGGGGCGATGCCTTATTGGCTTTCATCTCAGGTATGCGGGCAGTCTTGGCCATTGGTTTGGCGACCATCCGCCGCTCGATCGGACAACTCACTAAGTGTGCTAGTGCCTGCTCGTGTCACATGTTTTAGCTGTCTGTTGTGCTGCAGCCTGCATGGGCATCGGTTTGAGGAGCTTGATTTGGCGTATCCTGTCGGCAAGAGTGCCTGCCAACGCACCGAACATTCAGATAAGCCTTGACTTGGGGGTCAGTCGAAACTTTCCGGGAAACAGCAGGGCACGGAACGATGCTTTCTATAGAACGTCATGTGCAGCATCTCATCGTGCGAGTCAACCTGAGCGTTTCAGGGACGGTGACGTTGTCATGTTGTGCAAAAGTGTGGAGGCCAGCAAGGTTCAGGCTTGGTGTTTCCTGTCTCGCCTTGCTGAGGCAACAATGGTAAGTTCTGGGTGCCCACGGCAGATCTCGAGCCTCTTGGATCATCCTGTTTCATGCTTCAAAACCAAGACTAGAGATCCCACGTCGCTGCAAGCTGTCGCTTCAAACAGTAGCACTACGCACAGCGCGACACATAATTTTTTCACGAGGCTTCGGGAGACGAAAATCGTCAACCAGCTAAGCGACGAGGACCTGGAGCGCATCGTGCGGCTCTGATGTCATTAGATGGATCTTGCAATCTGTACACCGGTACACACCGGCAAGCAAGGCGGACTTTCATGTTAGCTTTTTCGGCTTTTTTAGGATGCCTTGTCCTGAGGTACGGGTATGTCTGTGCCAACCAACAGTCGCTGGGATAAGGATTGTAGAGCTGCAGGGCATCAATGAATCACTTGCGCAATCCAGCCGAGGATACCAAGACTGGTGGCCTCCTGTGAAACCTACAAGACCAAGAAGCTCTCTGCCGGTCGCAAAATGAATGCGCAAATGATCACTAGCCCAGCCCTGTGGCCTCTCATGTTCCATTGCCTAGCTGGTTTGGCCATTGTCAGAAGGTGACCACAGCATCCCGCAGCGAGCTTGGTGGAACGAGGACTTGAAGACACCTGAAGTCTAGCAGTCTATGAGCTGGGCGAGCATTGCACGTGTGCTCAAGTGCCCGCACGGCACTTTCCGCTCTTTTGCTGTGCAGGAAATACAGTGGCGGCACTGACGATCGTGTGCAAACTGCAGCCGCTTTCGTCACTTTGTTGCGTGAGCTTGGAGAGGACCGCAGGCAGAGTATGGGCGTAGCTTGGGGCCATACTTGGACAGCTAGTGCATATCACGGCAGGACGGGTTGCAGGGTTTGTCTTGGCCACGTGGAACGGGTCAGGGATTGTGAGGTATTCTTAGGCATGTTCGCAAGAACACAAACGCCGCAGTTATTTTTACCAACTTCGCGGACGGAAAACCTCGGCAGGACCAGCAGGAAGTGGCATCGGTGCGGGATGGCCTGGCGCACTACATGGAGTGCTTTGAGGAGATGAGATACATTCTTTGGTGGGCAAAGAGCATGGTCTGCGCAACCTGTCAGGCTCAGATAAACCGCTCCAAGACGTGATCGACGCAGGAGCTCAAAGCGAATTGTTTCACTCGACTTGGGAGATGAATTCTTCGTCCTGGCAGGACGTGCCACTCTGTGCTGATCGCGTGACGACCTGGTCCCCGCGCGGCCGTCTTCTTCCCGGGAACGCATGCTCCCCATCACAGTCATTGGTCGTTTGGGGTACCGAAAACGGCACAGAGTTGAGAACCCCCGTCGCTCTACAGGTCGAGTTCTGGAGCGAGATGGCAGGAAGTCAGGAAAGCCAGGTTGTGGGGGTCACGGGGGGCGGTGTGAAGGGCTGTCGATTCTTGGTGCAAACGGTGGTTTCCCGATCGTGCAAAGGCGATGGTGTCCGTAGAGAAAGCTTCTTGCGTGCCCATTGGATCTGAGACGAAGGCTGCCAACTCAGATTGGTTTTGTGCAGGACGTTTAGGCATGACGTGACGGAGCCGCCGATGTGTTCCTGCGTGTATCGCACGGCTGGTTGGGTAAGCACAGTTAAGTGTGGAGCTTCGGCTTAGCCATTGAGGCTCAAATCCACGCGGTTCATAGTTGAGCATATGGTCGTTTCAAGCACCGTAACAGGCATGAGCACGAATCATGTGGAGACACCCTAGATAGTACGCATTACGCATTGTTCGGCGTTGTCCCTGCTGACCGACGCCATTTGACACCAGATTTTGGCTTTCAGCACCCCCCACAGCATGTTGGCTGTGGCGTTCGTGCTTTTTTCCTTCAACCTGTTCCAGGTTGGAGCACCGGCATGCCTGCCGAACCCTAGAAGCCCTAGCCAGCGGCGCAACGTCACACATGATGGCGAGTCCTATCCCATCGGTCTTTGGGTCAATGACTGGGATGCTGCTTATGTGACGAGCGGTGTAGTTCACATCCTCATAGAGGACTTCTGTGAGCTGGAGTTTGTCAGTTGTTCGCGTGCGGGCAAGACTTTGCAGAGTTGCCCCTGGCCAGGAGTTGTTGGGCTACAACGTTATAGAAACAGGACCAGGTCCTGGAACACTTAACGCTTTCTATGCTCTGATGGGATGCGCGCGGCTGCTCGGCTTGGTTCGGGTAGCCAGGATGCCATGATATGCTATGCCTAGTAGCCCTATATTCCTCTTTGAAGCCCATGAGGCCGCTAAACCTGAGTGATGCCGGATGTGGGTCGGGTGTTACCTACAACCACATCAACGTCGAGCAGTGGTCTGAAGATTATGCGAAGGAGTGGAGCGAGATCCAGGCGAAGTATCCCTCCAGGGCTCCTGTCGATCTGGGCAGCATGGGCTACGATGGCGCCATCTCCGCCTATTTCCCAAGGAGTGTCCTGGCCGAGTCCCACTTTCAGGATGGAAACGTTCTGGAACACTACCGAGGATGGAATGCGTCATGGAGCCGCAATGAGAAGTACTTTGACACCTTGCATGCGATTAACAGAAGCCAGATGCATCCCTGCAATGAGACACGCTTTATGTCCTCGCAGCCGAACGAGGATTACCTCAGGGTCACAGGCACAGAAAACGAAAGACGTAATACTGGCACTACTGCCGACACGGTTTGCAGTTTAGATCCGTGTCTGAAGTTGACTTTCGTCGGACCTCCTTACTGTGTCCAGGTGATTCTGAAGGCCTTCGGACTCTGGCGAATGGTGATCTCATTTCTCACTGCCCCGATGGCTATTTCTGGCTGCCTCCGGCCTGCAGGGCAGACCCTGCCCTGTGCATTCCGTACCTGACTGGGGCCCTCGGCTGGTGGGGTGTTGATGATATGATGCAGAAGGTCACGGCTTTTGACATGCCGATAGCAATCGGCGTGGCCAGAAATTGGGCGGAGATGCCTCTGCGTGTCAAGAGCACTTTTTACTGGTGGGTGCCGGATGCAACCTTCTTGGATCTTGACCCAGTGGGAATCACTTTTCCACCATACGATTTCAACGCTTACATGAGGGGAGACAAGCGCACGGCTGCTGCATCCAGCGCCATCACGAAGCTTGTGAGCCAAGACTTATCGACCTTGGCCCCGAATGTCGAGGAATTCATCCGGGGTTTGCGCTTCAACATGAATGATGTCATGAACATGATGCGAGACAAGAAAGCAACCGGTGATTCGCACACTGACGTTGCCTGTCGCTTGGTCGGCTGGAGTAGGCCCTGCTCGACTAGGCCTAGGCTTGATCGAAATCAGGTTGCCGTCAGTAGTAGCAGTAGTAGTAGTAGTAGTAGTAGTAGTAGCAGCAGCAGCAGCAGTAGTAGTAGTAGTAGTAGTAGTTTGACTGGTTCTGCTGGTTCTTCAGGGTCAGG